ATTTACTCTGCTTGGCTGGGGAAGGGGTGAGGGGGATACGGGAAGAGACTGGACAAAAATCGTGCACCTATGGATGAGGACAGTGGGTGGGGAGTGAGGGAGGAGGGTGGGATGGGAACTGGGTGGAGGGGAGTTATGGGGGGAAAAAAGAGGAACAAATGTAATAATCTGAACAATAAAGATTTAATTAATAAAAAAAAGCCAAAAAAAAAAAAAGAACTGCAGAACCCTAGTTGGTTTGGCTCAGTGGATAGAGCGATGGTCTGTGGACTGAAAGGTCCCAGGTTCTATGCTGGTTAAGGGCACATGCCCAGGTTTTGGGTCCAGCCCCCAGTAGGGGGCATGTAGGAGGTAGCCAATCAATGGTTCTTTCTCATCATTGATGTTTCTCTCTCTCATTCCCTCTCCCTTCTTCTCTGAAATCAATACAAATATATTTAAAAAATGGGTTCTACTGAAAGCAACCTCACAGGCTGATCTCATCATGAATTCCTAACTGGGAAGATCATGGTGGGTAGTCATGCCCCAAACATATAACTTCTTTAGTAAAAGGGTTATCTTTGCCTGAGCAAGCCCTGTCCATTGTTCTTGTACACGAGGTTAACTCACTTTTGGAATGCCAGAGTAATTCTCTTTTTCAGACTCCTAAGAGGCATAAGCACCCCAACGGAGCACATACTCTTGTTAACCATACTGTAATCCAGTCTCACCTTGTTTACTCCCATCTTCATTTAATTTTCCTTATGTTCCCACCTTAATTTCAAATTCATAAAAGAAACTGCAAACTGTCATTCTAGGAAGTGTTTTTTCCTCAATCTGTTGAGATCTTGCTTCCAGTTGTCCTCTGTTTGACTCAAATAAATTAAAAAAAAATTTTAAATTGATTTTTAGAGAGAGGGGAAGGGAGAGGGAGAGAGAGAAACATCCGTGTGAGAGAGAAAGATTCATGGGAATGCCTCCTGCACACACCCCACTGGAGATTAGCCAGCAACCTGGACATGTGCCCTCACTGAGAATCTAACCTGAAAGCTTTCTGGGCACGGGAGGACACCCAACCAACTGAACCACACTGGCCAAGGCTCAAGTACATTTTTATAAAAATACAGGTTTTAACCTTCTTACAAGAGCAGTCTTGGAAGCATTGTCATCACACTTCCATTCCAGGCACCAAAATATTCCCATTTAAACACATTTAAAGAAAGTAACGCTGATCTATTAACAATGATCTGCAGTCAAGACAGTCTTGTTAAAGCTCAATACCCAGCAGCTAACACATTATCTGGCACTGAGCTACATTTTGTAAATCATTTGTGAATTCGAGAAAGCCAGTGTCGCCCAGTGGTTGAGCATAGACCCATGCACCAGGAGGTCCCCAGTTCCATTCCCCGTCAGGAGCTAGCCGAGGTTACGGGATCGATCCCCATTAGGGGGCGTGAAGGAGGCAGCCATATATGTTTCCGCCTTCCTCTCTCTGAAATCAATAAAAGCATTTTAAAAAAATGATGTCACGGATAATTTCCCCAAGGTAGGGACCGGTATTTCCCTCTCAGCTGTGGGCAAACTACGGCCGGCGGGCCGGATCCGGCCCGTTTGAAATAAAAAAAAATAAAAAAAAAAAAAAAAAAAAGACCATACCCTTTTATATAATGATGTTTCTTTGAATTTATATTAGTTCACACAAACACTCCATCCATGCTTTTGTTCCGGCCCTCCGGTCCAGTTTAAGAACCCATTGTGGCCCTCGAGTCAAAAAGTTTGCCCACCCCTGGATGGGCCCCGGAAGCCCCTTTGGGCTGGTGTGGGGAGACTGGGCTGCGGGGAGACGTGCTCAGCTGTGGGACTGGCGGGGGAACCCTAGGAGGCGGAACTTGGGCTGCTCGGTGCTACAATCCTGCGGACAATCAGAAGTGCAGCACCCGCGGGCCCGGAAGGAGTTGACGGGAGCTGGGGCAGCGGCAGCCATCGCGCTTTGCTGTTGGGTTTCGGAGGGTGTAGGGCTGACGCCAATTAAGGAATCGCGTTCTCTCCAATCGCAGGTGAGTGATGGCCTCTCCTCTGGGGAGAACCGGCGGGCGGCAGCTGTGGATCCGGAGGAAGGCGCACTTTTTGGGTCTGCGCTCCTCCACAATCCCCGCCTGTGGCGGGGCGAGGAAGGGGCGCCTGTTTTTCGCCCCGGAATCAGGCGGCGCGAGGCAGGGTGGGTTCCTTTTCTGTTGTGCGGGACCGCTGTGATGGTCCTCTGGGCAGGACACCGCTGCTGTCAAACGGTGGGTTATTTGAGGAAAGAACGAGATGACTCTAAACTGCAGGCAAGCCCTTCCTTGCCCTCGGCCTCAGTTTCCTCACCTGGTAAGGCGAGGGCGGCCGGAATCTGACAGCTCAAGAGGCTGTGACACTGCGTGTTGTCTTCAGCCTCCCAATTAGGGGCTCACTGCGCTTTACTACTGGGAGTTGACGTCTTGCCACAGCGCAGGTCCCACAGCTCTCAAGTCCCATTCGAGTGGGAAAAAATCCACTACTGGGGGAAAGTGTAATTACTTATAAATTGTTCCAGGATTTTACAACAAGATAGAAATTTGTTTTGACAGCAGCGAAAACTCTGACATGGGAGGCCAAAAAACCCCCCACCAAACTCGTCAGAAATTTAAGGTATTTGGTACGTGGGCAAAATGAGGTTAAGAGATCTTTTTACCTAGAAAAATTAAGCCTAGTATTATTTGCATGTTGTTAAATCAGGGTCTGTACAACTCTGAAGAATGTCGTCTGTCCAGTGTTAAGTACCAGTTAAGAGTAAGTCACAGTGAAGCAAATGAAAGAAAAGGAAAGGAACATGTATTGACTACTGTTTGAAGGCGCTAGCTATGCTCACAGCCATCCACTAAGGAAGGGAGTGGTATCATTTCTATTTTACAGAGGAGGAATAAAGGAAGCTTTACAGTTTGTCAGTGATTAGTGGTGCTGATGTATCAAAGCAGTTGTATAAGTAATATTGTTTAGTGGATTTGCATTCATTACCAAACTATTTTGAACTTTAAAAACTTTCAGGTTTATAGTTCACTGGTATTTTCTGAGTTTGCGGGAAAGGAAGGTGTTGCCTTTATTTTAGAAATGGTAGAGAAGCGTTTTCAGGAATTACGAAGATTAGCATTTTAACTTCCCTTTCAAGCAAGAATTGAGACAAAAGATTGGTTTATTAAAAATAAAAATCACTGCCACATCATTTGAAGCTTGCCAATTAGAGTACTATAGTAATGATTATTTTCCCACCCTCTTCCTTACGTACACTTATCTGAAACTCATTTAAATTATTTCTCTGCAAAACATTAAGCAAATAATTTTAAAATCACAGTGTTGAAAAGTTTCTCTTCCTTTTGTATACGTTTTAGAACAGTTTCAGTTAAAAATATTTTAAGGATTGAATTTGTCATTGCTTATGTCAATTTTCATTTAAAAAACATTTTTATTGATTTCAGAGAGGAAGGGAGAGAGAGAGATAGAAACATGATGAGGATCATTGATCGGCTGCCTCCTGCCCCCTACTGGGAACCATGCCCACACCCCAGGCATGTGCCCTTGATGAGAATCGAACCTGCGGCCCTTCAGTCTGCAGGCCGATGTTCTATCCACTGAGCCAAACCAGCCAGGGCAGTTTTCATTTTCTTAATTCAGTACAGGCAAGTTCAGTACTCACACACAACTGTTTTCATAATGTAGAGGTTTCCCCCCTTTTTTTTCATTCTTAAAAGAATCCTACTATTGATATTTGTCACAGATTTAACTGTCTTTTAATCGAGTATTACTTTTCCCTAGAGGAAACTTAGTGTGTACTTTTTGTTGATTACATTAACCAAAAGGTCATGTTCCATTATTGTAATTGCTATGTATTCATTCCTAAAATATTTTCTTGAGATTTTTATTTGCATCACTGCTTTAAAACTTTAAAGGCTATAGAAAGAAAATCTAACAGTTTTAGGGGAGAATATTTATAAAGCAGTATTGTCTTGAAACACCTAACATGGTTACTCTTGATCCTTAGTAATGCACAGGGCCTTGCTGAAATTCTGCAAAACATGGTCAAGAAGAGGTTTTGGCCTTCTTTATATTTGTAGTATTTCAATGAGAGAGAGAGGTATATATAATTCTAAATTAGCTTACAGATAGTATACTCACCTTATGGATTTTGTACCTTTTTTTATTTGTTTGTTTATTCTTTTTCCCGTCACCCCTCCCCCTTCCTCCACTTTCCACCCCCTGAAACCTGTCCATGATTTAATCATAAACCTGACGCAATTAGGTAAAAAATTTTGATTTATCTTGTCTAGTGAAATTTCCTTTTACCTCAAGTTGAAGGAAACTAGTCTAGTGCCCTTTCTGGTGACAGTGCTGTTAATATTTAAAATAGAATCAGAATATCATTTAAAACTTGCTCATATTAAAAGTTGTTAATATGTTTAAAAAATTTAATTGATTTGAGAGAGAAAGAGAAACATCAATTTTTGTTTTTCTACTTATTTATGCATTCATTGGTTGATTCTTACATGTGCCCGCAATCTTGGCAAATCAGGACAGTGCTCTAACCAACTGAGCTATACCAGACCAGGCCTAAAAATTGTTAATATTGAAGTTAATTTGAAAATTGGCATTTAAAGTTTTGTGCACTGAACTTTAAGTAATTTAGTCTGGATGAGTTAAGACCATCTTGTATAGTATTCAGGGTGTTTTGGGGTACATTATCATATTTAACCATTCTTACAACACTGAGGCAGGTGGTTATTCCCATTATAGTAGGAGGAAATGGGGGCTCAGAAAGATTGACTTTTCCAGAATGAAATAATAGTATTTCAAAATATGCATGTTAAATCTATATTTTAAAAATTCTAGACAGGTACTCTATACATTTTACCATAGCTCTACCATACTTTATTTCCAAAAGTTATTAATGTATTGATTGTATAATCCTACTCTGATATCGTATTTGCCTCTTTAGACTATCATAGCTTTTATTTTCTTTGAGTAGTACTTTTTGGAGTATTTGTATCCTGTTGTAGTTAATTATTTTTTCCCCCTAAAGTTTACACCTAAATGGTTCTGCCTAATTACTTATATAAATTTGTTGTAAATATTAAAAGACCATGTAAATTTGACGAATTTTTAATATTACCTTTATTGAATAGTTCATGTATCATAAAATTTACCCTTATAAATACAGTTCAGTGTTTTTAGCATATTCACAATGTTATGCAACCATCACCACTGTCTAATTCCAGAACATTTTGTCATCCCCAAAAAGAAACCCAGTACCCATTAACAACCACTTCTCCCAGTTTTCTCTTCCCTTCCTGTCTGAAAAACACTAATCTACTTATTCTAAGGATTTGCCTATTTAAGAAGGTTGTTTTTTGTTTGTAAGAAGTTATATTTAATCTGAGAGGTTCTCTTCCACTAAACCCTTTGCACTGATTTTCATGTTACATGAGTTAGATCACGTTTCCAATCTGTATAGGGCTTTTCCTGTTTGGTGTTCATGCAATAAATAAATCTGCTGATGTGTATATGTTTCCTTGTTCTTGACCTTTGCTCTTCACATGTCTTAATAGGGTGTCATGGTGTTGTGTAACCTGTTCTCAGGGCTCAGGTATCTGTTTGTGGCTAAGTAACTTTTATTCTTAGTTAGGCGTTTTTATCTGTACTTTAAAATGACTAATGACTCCCAGCTTGTTTTAAGGTTCTTAGAAACCACAAGTTTTTAGAAATATAAATATCTCATTATCTTCTAAAGCAGAGCTTCCCCATATGTTATTAAATTATTTCTTTTTTAAAATATATTTTATTGATTTTTTACAGAGAAGAAGGGAAAGGGATAGAGAGTTAGAAACATCGATGAGAGAGAAACATTGATCAGCTGCCTCCGTCATACCCCGTACTGGGGATGTGCCCTCAACCAAGGTACATGCCCTTGACCGGAATCGAACCTGGGACCCCTCAGTCTTCAAGCCGATGCTCTATCCACTGAGCCAAACTGGTCAGGGCTAAATTATTTCTTTTGGGACAAATTTTATAGCAGTAAATAGGTGCCATTCTCTCTCTCTCTCTCTCTCTTTCTCTCTCTCTCTCTCTCTCTCTCTCTCCCCCTCCCTCCCTCTCCTCTCTCTCTCTCATATTAATCTACAACCTTTTTTTTTTTTAAAAGGTAGTGAGAAGGGAGAGAGAAACATTGATGTGAGGATGAGAGAGACACATCAATCAGTTGCCTTCCGCACATGGCAGACCTGACCCAGCATCGAACTTGAGATCCTCCGGTACATGGGAGGATGCTCCAACTAACTGAGCCACCTAGCCAGGGTCTCTCTTGAATTCTTGAACTCCACACTCGCCTCTGTTTTTCTGACACAGTTATGGCCCACCTCACCCTTTTACTACATCACTGCCTGCTTTTCTACGAAAGGCTTTCCTCCTTTTCTCCCAGTTCTATATTTTGAGAACCCTGCCATTGATTCCCATCCCTATGCGCCACTGCCTTTGTACCTTTTTCCACTAAGCCTGAACTTCTGATCACCTTACCCCACCTTAGTCTCTCTTACTAGCACTCTCAATTTCCTGTTCCCTTGTCTTTTATTAGGTCCTGTTCTGGAAGTCCATAATCCTCCTTCACTCAATGTTCTCTAAAGTTAAGCACTGTTGGAGAGTGAGGGTGGGGAGGAGTAGGGGAGATTGGAAATCAGTGCAGATTGGTACTGCTAAATGTTTTTCAACTCCGGCCAAGCACTTGACTCTTCTTTTAACTTGATCTTTTCCTGCACAGTGGCTATTTTAATCCCCACTCTGCTCCTCAGAATTTCTCTACACCCTTTCTTCACTTTTGGAGTCAGATTCCTGCCACCTCCACTATACGTACTTGGCCCGCCTTTCTTGTAATCTTAGAGGACCCGAAGTGCTCTTAGCCGTCTCCTCTTGAAACTTTGCCCCTTTTGGTTAACTCCTTCCTTCTCTTTCTCTCTCATCTTTAACCTCTCCCTTTCCATTAGCTCCTTCCCTTCAGTTTATCAACATACTCTAAGCTTCACCTTTCCTTAAAAAGAAAATCTCATTTCCCTCATTCCATCTCACACTTTTTAAAAAACATTTTTATTGATTTCAGAGAGGAAGGGAGTGGGGGAGAGATAGAAACATCAATGATGAGAGAATCATTCATCAGCTGCCTCCTGCCAACTCCTACTGAAGAATGAGCCTGCAACTCGGGCATGTACCTTGACCAGGAATCGAACTGTGACCTTTGGTTCATAGGTTGACACTCAACCAGTGAGTCACACCAACTGGGCTCATCTCAAACTTTTTGAAAGAGGAATTTCTCCTCACTGCCCCATTCACTTAAAAAAATTTTTTTTATTGATTTCAGAGAGGAAGGGAGAGAGAGAGGGAGAGGGAGATAGAAACATCAATGATGAGCCTGCAACCTGGGCATGTGCCCTTGACCGAAATTGAACCCGGGACCCTTCAGTCTGCAGGCTGGTGCTCTATACACTTAGCCAAACCGGTTAAGGTCCATTCACTTGTTAATACAGTAACTAGGTATTAAATACTTATTTTGTGCATTGTATCTCATTTGATCTTTTTTTAAAAAAAGATTATATATATGTACCCGCACATGAAGTATGGCTATAATTGTATCTATTGAATAGACTGAGGTAAATCACGTTACTAGAAACCACCAAACAATGGATCGAGCCCACAACCCGGGCATGTGCCCTGACTGGGAATCAAACTGTGACCTGGTTTATTGATGGATGCTCAACCACTGAGCCACGCTGGCCAGGCTCATTTGATGTTTCTAGCACCCTGAAAGATTTTGCAGAAGAAACTTGTAACTCATTCAAGATCACACAGTTAATGAATCGTGTAGATAGGCTCTGCTGTACTTTAAGTACTGGCCTTAGTCTGTCCTGTATTACTGCGCCACTGCAGGCTGCTCATGCTCTCAACAATTGTCTTCTTTTCGCCAAAGCCAGGTGTGACATTTCTGCAGCTGTCTATGATGGGGCTAACTTCTTTGCTTTCTAGTTTTTTCACTGTCTCTTCTAGTTCTACCTTCTACCCTTCTGGGGTCTGTTGGTTCTTCCACCCCTATCTGTCCCTTAAAGACCATCTCAAGTGATGGTCTTTCAGCTTACAAACTTCCAGTGACTCTCCACCCACATGTATGGGGTGGCCACATAATTTAACACCTAACTCAGGACCTTTTGCGAGTGAAACTGGGAATTATAATCACCCTGACTATGCAAGTCAAGTCCAAGATGACATATTGATGAAACCATTCTGGAGGGTGTGTACAAATGGGAGAAACAAATTTTGAGATTAAGATAGCAGTTTAGGAATGTGACATAAGGCTCTTGACTAGGTGATTCTCCTGTGGGAATCAAAGAAAGTTTGAGTCTTCTCCATAGAAATTGATAGAGCCCTAGCTGGTTTGGCTCAGTGGATAGAGCGTCAGCCTATGGACTGAAAGGTCCTGGGTTTGATTCCGGTCAAGGGCACATGCCTGGGTTGTGGGTTCAATCCCCACAACCAATCAATGGTTCTCTCTCATCATTGATGCTTCTATTTCTCTCTCCCTCTCCCTTTCTCTCTGAAATCAATAAAACTATATTAAAAAAAAAAGAAATTGATAGAATTGGGGAATAATTGGATGTGGATATGAGGAAGAAGGAGTATACATCAGAGTCATGAGCTGAAGTAACTGAAAAATGGTATATAATACTTTAAGCAAATTTTAACCGTTAAAACTATATGTTGCCATAGCTGGTTTTGCTCAGTGGATAGAGCCTTGGCTCAAGGATTGAAAGGTTGTGGGTTCAATTCAGGTCAAGGGCACGTACCTCGGTTGCAGGCTGATCGTAGGCCCTGGTTAGGACACATGCAGGAGGCAACATATCAATGTGTCTCTCCACCTTGATGTTTCTCTCTGTCTCTCCACTTCCCTTCCACTCTAAAAATCAATGGAAAAATATCCTCGGGTGAGGATTAACAACAACAAAAAGTCAGAAAAGTATGTTGTTTTTCTTTAGAGAAAGGGCCTGGAAGTGGAGGTCAGAAAGACCCAGGTTTGAAACTTAGAGGTGCCAATCATTAATAGTTGAGTTATAGTTATTTTAGCATCAGTTTCTTCTTCTATAAAATGGGAACAGTAATATATCTACTTTGAAAGGTTGTTAGGGTGGTTAGTGGTGACTTGGAACTGTGGGCCATATAGAAGAAGAAATAATAATAGCAGCTAATACTGAATGCTTACTCCATGCAAGATGTATTGTAGAAATTTGTTTGCTTTGTGTGTAGTAATTTATTTAATTTTCACAACCACCATCTCAGGTAACTACTGTTATCTCCATTTTACAGGTAGGTAGTAAGTGGTCAAGTCCTGGCTCCAGAGCTCTTGCTCTTAACTGCTAGACCATATGCCCAATAAATGGTAGCTGTTTTTGTTTGTTTTGCTGTTTTTATTAAGTTGAAAGGTTGAGTCAGTGTTCTTTCTTAGGTCCATACATAGGTAGCAAGCATGACCAAATACCTACATTTGTCTGAGACGTGTTTATCACTCTGGCTCCTGCCTCACTGATTAGCACCCATTGATTTTTACTCTGCTTGCAGGTCCCCAACCCAATCATATCATCTAACAATATCTGACTTTTTGCTCTCCCCTTTCAGTTTCACACATTTATATAACTTATGAAGTGATCATCCCGATAAATCTATGATTCTCTTTGAAAAACATATATGAAATACCTAAAAAATAGATAAGCCACTTGTATATATTTTCTCTGACTACAAGTTTCAATTTCATTCAATTATCATCAAATGACCTAAAATGATAATAGTAGAATGAGGTGTAATTTTCAACTTGAGTAAAACAAGAACTAAGATATTAGATTGTTGTATATTAGTATATAGGGTGTCCCCCAAAATGCATATACACACATTGAATAATTATAAAGGCAATATTTATTAAAATACATTTCATTTACGAAATTGAGCTCTCAGCTGTTAAAGCGTGTATACGTTTTTTGGGATGCCCTGAATATATTGCTCTTGTAGATCTCATTCTTGTGATACTGACACATGAAGCTTCATAATTTGCCAGTCACTGTCTTAATCAGGAATCAGCTGATTGCAGGAACAAAATTCTGCTCATGCTAGTAAGGTGAGGAGCACTTACTACCTACCTGTAAAATGGAGATAACAGTAGCTACCTGAGATGGTGGCTGTGAAAATTAAATACTGATGATCGAGAAGGCCTAGCTTGAGAAGATAAGATTTTTTTAAAAAACATTCAGTAATATGATTAAAATTTGAAAAGTGTAAGTAAAAGATAAACACAGAAATTTACCATCTGGTACCACTTCAGAAGACCAAAAGAAATAGAAAAGGGTTTTTTATTCCATTAGGTATAATCTGACTTTGAAACTTATTTTATCATAAATTTTCTTCTCTTTTTTCTCTTCTTCCTGCTCTTCCAGCCCCCACTCCATCATTTTTGGTAAATACTATTCCATAGGTCATGTGTACTATAATTAATTTAATTTGAACATAGATTATTTCTAAAATTTTTCTTATATAACACTTTGATGCACATCTTTATATATAAACTTTTTCCATATTTAGAACTATTTCTGTTTAAAAAAATGTTTTTATTGATTTTATGTTTGAGAGAGAGAGGAAAAAAAATTGATGGGTTGTCCATTGCACACCCCCTACTGCGGATCAAGCTTGTACCCTGGGCATGTGCCCTCACTGGTAATCCACCTTGGCAACCTCTCCATGCATGGGAAGATGCTCAACCAACTGATCCACATTGTCCAGGGCTAGGACAATTTCTGAAAGTAGAATTCTTAGGTCAAGTGGTATCAACAGGTTTATTATTGCCAAATTGGTTTTGGGAAAGATTTGTAGAAATTTATACTGCCACTAACAATGCCTCTTTTACCACACGTTTTCTAGTCCTGGCTGTTATATTTCTATTTTTATGTTGATAACTTCTTTCTTCTTCTTTGTGTTGGTTCCTTTGATGGGTAAAAAATAGTCTCTACTTAGTATTTTAATAGCATTTTTATGCATCAGTATAGATCAGGTTAGACCAGCTTGGATAAGAGTGTTTAATTCTTTGTGGTAAGATTGTTGTAGAGTTATTTACTCAGAGTTGGTTAATGTTGTTGTTTAATGTATATTGGCATTTAATGTTGTCTACTAAATTCAAACATGTTTTTTTCCAGACCCTGTAAGATTTGGATATGTCCTTCATATTTGACTGGATTTATAGTGGTTTCAGCAGTGTGCTACAGTTTTTAGGTAATGTTGGCTCTTTATTCTCTATTGTTATCCATTTAAGCCTACTTATATAAAAGTGCTTATTTGTCTAGAGCCTCTTTATATATATACCCAGTAGTTAAGAATGTGATCTTTGAAATTGTAAAAAACAGCCCTAGCTGGTTTGGCTCAGTGAATAGAGGGTCGGCCTGTGGACTGAAGGGTCCCAGGTTCGATTCCAGCCAAGGGCACATGCCTGGGGTTGCGGGCTTGATCCCCAGTGGGGGGCGTGCAGGAAGTGGCTGATCAATGATTCTATCTCTCATCATTTTTGTTTCTATTTTTCTTTCCCTCTCCCTTCCTCTCTGAAATCAATAAAAATATATTTAAAAAAAGTTGTAAAAAAAAGTTTAATGACTGACTGTCGCTCTTATAAATTATGTAATCTTGGGCAAAATACTTTACCCAATTTAGCCTTAGTTTCCTTATCTGTAAAATAATAATTTCTACTCCTTAAAGTGGTTAATAGGAATATTACAGGATGGGGCAAAAGTAGGTTTATAATTGTGCATATGGAAAATAATACAGCAATTAATAAATAATAGACCTGACTGGGTAGTTCAGTTGGTTAGAGTGTCATGCCGATACATCAAGGTTGCGCTGGTTCAATCCCTGGTTAGGGCACATACAAGAATCAACTAATGAATGCATACATAAATGGGACAATAAAAATTGATGTTTCCTTCTCTCTCTCTCTCTCTCTCTATAAATATATATATGTGTGTGTGTGTGTATATATATATCCCCCTTCCTCTCTCTCTAAAATCAATCAATAAAAAATTTAATAAAAAAATGCCCTGGCCTGTAGCTCAATTGGTTAGAGTGTCATCCCAATACACCGAGGTTACAAGTTCGACCTCTGTTCAAGAATCAACCAATGAGTGCATGAATGGGTGGAACAATAAATTGATGTTTATTAAAAAAAATTTAGTCCAACCCACTGTACAGATTAAAGTTTAAATGTTCTTGGTGTTCCATTTTGGAATCTTATCCTATATACTTTTGCTATTTAAGGATGGTAAGATTGATTGCATTGGTTAGAAACAATCTATGTAGAAACCTTTTAAAAAAAATAATATGTTTTTACCCTGGCCGGTTTGGCTCAGTGGATAGAACGTTGGCCTGCAGACCAAAGGATCCTGGGTTCAATTCCAGTCAAGGGCTCATACCTTGATTGTAGGCTTCTCCCTGGCCCGGGCTCTGGTCAGGACTTGTGCAGGAGGCAACCAGTCAATGTGTTTCTCTCTGTCTTTCCCTTCTCTCTTTCTTCCACTCTCCCTAACAATTAATGGGAAAATATCCTCCAGTGAGGATTAACAACAAAAAATGTTTTTATTGCTTTTAGAGAGAGAGGGAGAGAGATAGAAATATCTATGAGAGAGAAACATCAATTGGCTCTCTCTCTTGCACACCCCCAACTGGGGATCAAACCAGCAACCTGGACATGTGCCCTCATTGGTTATGGAACCGGTGACCTCTTGGTGCATGGGACAATGTTCAGCCAACTGAATCACACTGGTCAGGCTGTAGAAACCTTTTAAGAAATAAAAATGTTTAAAGAAGTTACTTGTCAGAATTCATAAAGATCAAATGTCTTATCCCAGCTCAAGTAAATATGGAAGGTAATCTTCCTCTAAGGATCCGAATTGTTAGTTGACCCATGAATCAGGAGGTCACGGTTCAATTCCTGGTTGGAGCAGATGCCCAGGTTGTGGGCTCCATCCCCAGCGTGGGCCATGCAAGAGGCAGCCAATCAATGATTTTCATCATTGATGTTTCTATTTCTCTCTCCTCCCTTTCTCTCTCTGAATAAAAATAAATAAAAATATATTTTAACAAAGAAAAAGAGGATATCTTTTTGGTGGGTGATGTCGATAATGGGGGAGATTATATGTGTGTGGAAACGGGACACATGGGAAATCTATGCCTTTCTGTCAGTTTTGTTATAAATCTAAAGCAGCTGTTAAAAAAAAAATCTTCAAAAAAAAATAATAAGGCTCAATATGGAATTTTGCAGTAAATGCCAGTCTATAATTTGGTCAATGCTGTCTTTTTTCTGTTTATTTATGATTTTATCAATGCTTGGTTATACATCTAAAATTATGTGTTTCATTTTGTTTTTATTGCTTAGTTTTATGCAATCCTGTAAAGCTTAATTTTATTCTCAGGGAAATTCGACAGTGAGCAAAACTTTTACTGAAAAACTTACTGTAAATTTTTGTTTATTTGTTAAAACTCACCTAAGGATATTTTTTCCATTGATTTTTAGAGAGAGTGGGAGGCAGAGGAAGAGAGAGAGAGGAAACATGGATGTGAGAAAGACATCAATTGGTTGCCTCCCACATGTGTCTGAGCAGGACCCAGGATGGAATCTCTAACCCAGATACGTGCCCTTGATCAGGAATCAAACCTGCAACTCTTCAGTGTTCAGGCTGACTGCTCTAACCTGAGCAATTGGCCAGGGCCTTGCTGTAATTTTTATTGTCAAAAATACCTAATTTATTTTCATCCATTAAATTTTCTTTATTTTTTCTTTTGGTCTATCTTCATAAATACATGATTTCAATGATTTTGTGAGTGAGAAGACACATATATTTACCCCCAAATTGTCAAGGGGACGGATTTTGGCATTACAGATAAGTTTAGATAACACACACATTCTTTGATAGGGGTGAAGTTTAGTTTAGTAATGATTTGATTTCCCAAATTATAATATATTTAAAATAGCTCTTCAAAACTAAAAATAATTAGAGTCCCAAGCTTATTCAGGCCAGTTTATAAAGTCTAAAAGTTCAAAAGGTTAATAGGTGTTTCTTTATTAAAAAATCAGAGTAATTAAGAAAAGTCTCTAAATAACTAAACCGTTAATATATTTTGTTGAAGGTCATTTTATTTGGATAATCTGTGTCAGATGTTACTTTGATTAATCAAAGCTTTCTCTATAGGATTATATAAGAAAACTGGTAAATTGGTATTTCTTGGATTGGATAATGCAGGAAAAACAACATTGCTACACATGCTAAAAGATGACAGACTTGGACAACATGTCCCAACGTTACATCCCAGTAAGTATATTCCCCCATACATTGTTGCTGTTATTACTTTATCTACTGATACTGATTCATAGGTGCTAACTGAAAGGTTTTCTTTGTTTGGTGATTTTTTATATGGATAAATTATAATTAGGTGATTTGACCTGCTCTTAAATAGTAAATAATAGGTGACCCAACTACCAGGAGTATATTTAGGTCTTGAAATAATACTCAGATCTTCTTATCAGTTAGTACACTCTTCTCCAGCTAAAGCAATTAAAGTTACCATTTCAGTGATTATGACATGATTAAGGTCTTTCCAACCAGATATTACTTAGGCTATTTAAGGCACCATAACATTGTTTACATACATAAATTTCTTTCAGATTTTAAAGCTGTGCTTTTTTAATCATTATTCAGTGGACAGATTGTAGTTGTTTTCTTTCCAGATTACACTCTTATACTTTACTGGTGACTCCATTTATTAACCAGTTTATTTTTCTAGTCCTAACAACTTCAACAATACCTAGTATAAAGATCATAGAATTATTCCAAAAAAGAAGCCATGTACTGATACACTTATGGAAAGTTTTAAAATAATTTACCGTGCTTTCTTTAAGAAAGACTTCCTGAAAGACATTAATAATGACTTAATACATACCATCATATATATCTATGGTTATGTAATAGGTACCTTTTGAGAAACTAAAGTTAAAGTAACAGTTATTACAAAGAAGCCTAACATATAAGTAATTGGAATCTCACTTTTACTGTTGAAAGACTGAGTTAAATAGACACAGAATTTAAAGACAAGTTAATCCACAGATTGATTATGAAATAATGAGTGTGGCCTTAAATAATGAGTATAAAATTGAGAACTGCACCAAAAAGTAGGTAATATGATAGTTATTTAGTTCAGTAAATAAAGTACCTGGAAGGAGAACAGAACAAAGTAAAGATTTTATCTATAAAACTATTGGTGTTGAAAAAGGAAGATTTTATAAAATGGACAAATCTTTTATATTATGAGAAGAGAGTGGGACTTGGCAAATAAGATTCTGATACAAGAACAATTCTGTGCAATTGAGTTTATAAAATTGTCTGCAAAAACAACAGAATTAGAAGAGACTACAAAGTGGTCTTATATTGTGTATAAGTCATGTTTTAATTTTTTGATGTTGCTCTCTTTTACCTATTCAACAAATATTTATTGAGCACCTACTTTATGCCAGACATTATTCTAAGTAGTAGGAATATTAGTGGCACAAACAATTGCTATCTCAACCTTTCTGCAGCTCAAGTCACCAAGTCAATTTATATTTTCAGTTAATCAAAAGCAGATGTGAAAAAAGTAACATATATGTTCTACCCTATGATCTGGCAGTTCCACTATTAGGTATTTATTTAAGAGAAATAAGAACATATGTTCTCCAAAATCATTGTACAAGAATGCTTATACTAGCTTTATTTGTAATAACCAAAAATTGGAAACAGCTCAGATACTCATCAAAAAAAGAATGGGCCCAGCTGGCATGCCTCAGTGGGTGAGTGTTGACTTACGAATGAGGAGGTCATGTTTTGATTCCTGGTCAGGGCACATGCCCAGGTTGCGGGCATGATCTCCAGTGTGGGTTGTGCAGGAGGCAGACAATCGATGATTCTCATCACTAGTGTTTCTCTCCTTCTCCCTTCTCTCTGAAATCAATAAAAAAATATTTTAAAAATATAATGGGTAAACAATGGACTTCTACTGAACAAGAAAGGGAATAAACTGATACATACAGATGCATATTATACTGCATGGGAGAAGCTGATCATAAAAAAATTACATATCATATGATACTATTTATGTGAAATTCTAGAACAGGCAAAACTGACCTGTGGTGACAGAATTCAGATCAGTTTTTTCTCTGTGGAGGTGGAGGTGGGGACTGACTGGGAGGGGGCTAGAGGAAATTTCCTGGGATATCAATATTGTTCTGTGTCTTAAATTAATCAAACTGGGACTTCTTTAATAAAGCAGGGGATATAAACCATAGAGGTAGTTTTCCAACTACATCCAACCATTATCTTTTCCTTATGGAAAGGAACACACTTTGATCACAAATTGCAGTAATTATTTATTCGATTGGCACTGTATGTACAGAATTTTTAACAAGATAAACTACTCTGGAGCCTTAGCAGTTATACTGAATAGTAAACAATCACACTGAACCTTTCATTGTAATTGTAGGGGACTTCTGCTTTTGGCCACGAGGAGTAACAGAGTCTGGAATTACATTCCCATTGTGAACAACTAGAAAACGGGACAAAAATATATACTATAACTGTTTTTCAGATATTGGGCAATAGCTAGCACATGACTATGACTCCTGAGAGAAGAAAAAGAAACCCTTCTTTATTTAAGCTTTTTCACAAGAGATAATTTTCAGACCATGGGGCAGGGAGATGAAACCCAGACATAACCCAGTAGTCTTGGTGGGTTGAGGAGACAGAGACCAGAATTTGGAGAGGCACAGGTGACTGGAATTTGCTGGGCAAGAGTACCAGAGAGGAGTGAGCTCCTCAGAGAAACAACTTCAGACACTTTTGTGGCTGAATTCCAATCTGTGCGCGCAGAGCGTAAAACTCCACAAAGAACAGTTTCTGGAGGAGGGACTGTAGCAGATCTGTTAGCCAAATAGTTCCAAGTGCTTACATGGCACCGGGAATCATTCATGTTCCCATCAGCCAGAATGGGGAGATTTGGTTGAATACACAGGGCATTTGATAGAAACTCCAAAAGGGTCCTACCTTAATAATGGATTAAAGTGGCCTCTAAGTAAAGGCTACTTTAAATCTTCCCTAACAAAGCATAAAAACTGATCTGCAATCAACTGCCTGCCAGAGCGAAGTCCACTTTCTTCAAAAGAATACAACAAAATCCACCATCTAATAAAAAGATTACTAGAGCCCTGGCTGGTGTGGCTCAGTTGGTTGGAGCATTGTCCCTTACACCAAAGGGTTGTGGGTTGGATTCCCCGTCAGGGCATATACCTGGGTTTCGTGTTTAATGCCCGTCTGGGTGTGTGTGTGGGTATTGCAGCCCATCGATGTTTCTCTCATGTCAATATTTCTCTCTCCCCCTTAACCTCTTTCTAAAAAATCAATGAAGGTATCCTTGGGTGAGGATAAAAGTAAAAAACTACTAGACATGAAAAGAAGCAGGAAAATATAATCCATAACCAGGAGAAAAATCAATCAGTAGAAACAGACCCAGAATTGACAAAGATGATAGAATTAGCAGATAAGAAAGTTAAAACAGCTGTTATGAATATGCTCAAGGATTTAAGGAAAACATGAACATAATTCAAGAAATGGAAGATATAAAAGAATCAAATGGTCATGGCTGGTTTGGCTCAGTGGATAGAGTGTCGGCCTGCGGACTAAGCATCCAGGGTTCGATTCCAGTCAAAGGCACATGCCCAGGTAGAAACCAAATGGAACTTCTAGAAATAAAAATAGAATGAAATTTTCACTGGATAGGCTTAATAGCAAATTAGACAGTGGCAGTAGTGCAGAAAGAAAGACCAGTGAACTTAAGTCAATGCAATAGAAACTATAAAATGAAGCACAGAGGAAAAAATGACTGAAAAACAAGGAACAGAGCCTCAGTGACTTCTGGGACAATATTAAGCTGTTTAGGAGACCTATAATTGAAGTCCCAGAAGGGGAAGGTAGGGAGCAGAAAACATATTTGAAGAAATAATGGCCAAAATTTTTTTTATTATATTTGTGTTTGTCATTAAAGACGGTCTCATATAAAATTTGACAGCCATAGAGAAAATTGTTTATTTCACCTGTATCATTTAAGCTGACTTGCACGAAATTATTAGGTTGGAAGAATTCACAAAAAATAATTGCTTGAATAGATTAACATTTTAGCAGGAGAAATAGAGAAGGAAAAATAAATAAGTGATGGATTTGTGGTGGGTAGAATTGAATACTACCATTACTTTTGTTATACCGTCAATATGCATTGGAATATATCTAATTACAATAAAGAATTATTTTATCAGTTCCTAAATGTTTGACTTTTTTTCAGTTAAAGCAAATCAAAATTAGCACTATATACCATGACTGGATTTCTGATTTTCATGTTGTAAAAATACTTTTTATTATTGTTTAGCTTCAGAAGAACTAACCATTGCTGGCATGACCTTTACAACGTTTGATCTGGGAGGACATGTTCAAGGTATGATTCTATTACTCCCGTGGAAGCTTTATTTTAACTTAATAAAAACATGACCATTATGTTCCAGTGCATGAAATCTCATTCTACTCAAGGAAAGCCAGAGTAGACTAAAAATTTAGGAATTATTACCTCTGGATAAATGCTTTAAAAGCAAAGGGTGATTTTTATGATACTCCTGATCAATTGAAGTTTGAATTGCTTTTGGTGGTAAAGCAAATGAGTAAAATTGAACCTCCATTTTCTCTCTGCCCTAATCCATCTCTCACTTATTGTCATAATCATGTTATGAATATGTTCCTGCTTTGTATGAAAAGCCTTCAGTGGCTAACTCATTACCTATAAATTAAAGGCCAAACTTGTTGATCTGGCATTTGGGATTTCTATGATCCGGTTCCAGTTTACTTTTCAAGTCTTTATTTCCCAATGTTCCCCTTCCCATTCTCTTTATTCTAACCAAACCAAACCCTCTTGGTTTTCTCCCACTCTGTGCTTTTGCTCCTGCCATCCCATCTGCACATGAGTGACCCACATTCAGGGCCCAGGGTGAGCGCTGCTGCCTTCCCCAAGGAGCTGCTTGCAGCTGGAAGTACTCTCAACTGTACTCCCACAGCACGTAGGGCATTTGTGTACATGTCTGCAAGTTTGAAAAGACTGCCTTATCTCTTCTCCTAAACTTTCTGGGACTTAAATCTGTTCACTTTTTTTTTTTATCCTGTCCATTTTTTATATTCCCAGAAGGACTTGGCAGTACCCAGCACATAGTAATTTGTAAATAAAGAATAGTACAAAGTTGGTGAGCATTCTAAAAAGCTCATATGACAGAGAGTTGAAAAGATTTTAAGTGGCTGTGACTAGTGAAAGCACATTTGAGCCCTAGCTGGTTTGACTCAGTGGATAGAGCATTGGCCTGCAGACCAAAGGCTCCCAGATTCGATTCCCGTCAAGGGCATATACCTTGGTTGCAGGCTCCTCCCTGGCCCCAGCCCTGGCCAGGGTGCGTGCAGGAGGTAACCAATCTATGTGTTTCTCTGACATTGATATTTCTCTCTGTCTTTCCCTCTCTCTTCCACTCTCTCTAAAAATAATCAATGGAAAAATATCCTCAGGTGTGGATTAAAAAAGAAAGAAATCACATTTGAGACGTAATTGTTTGAAATACACATAAAGTAATTTCTGGAATATAATGATTAGAGGGAGTTAAAACCTAATGGAGCTCATCTGAGACTTCATTTCTATATTGTTTTTAAGATATGTCATAAAACTGAAGTCAGAGAAAAAAGGTATTTTTCTCTGGGGCATTCCAACAACTCTTTTATTTAGAAAAGAATGTCATGGAAAAAAATTACCATATGTTTTTATAGACTTTAGTTTATTTCTGTTGTGAGTAGAGCAGTAAGTATGCTTTTATTATTTTAACTTAAGTCTGTACCTAGTACTAATTTCTTCTGCCACTGATTCCAAATTTATCCCCAGCAAAAAAATTTAAAAAACTGATAAACTAGAAATGTAAAAAAATGAATACTGCATATGAAAATAATAGCAGTTCTCCAATGAACTTAACAAGCATCATTATCCATCATTGGTAGCAGATATGAATACTACTTATAAAACATGGGAAAATTGGGGCAAAGTATTGACTTGCCCACAATCAAGGAAAGCCTGAAATTTCTTCTGGAAAGATTTGGCAACACTAGGTAAAAGATTAACTTGAGTATATATGGAGTAGCAGCAGCTAAGGGATAATTACACTTGATATCTTACTGGACTCTCATCAAACCATCTTCTAGGTTTGACCAGCAAATAAAATCTAACTTCTGATTGTTTTTGTTAGCTCGAAGAGTGTGGAAAAACTACCTTCCTGCTATCAATGGCATTGTATTTCTGGTGGATTGTGCAGACCATGAAAGGCTGTTAGAATCAAAAGAAGAACTTGATGTAAGTTAAATAATTAAAACTAAACAGTTGAATTAGTAATAAGCCTGAGGAAATAGGTTGGAGATCTAGGTATTAAAATGCAGCTTTTCTGTAGTCTCTGATGTAACTCCAGGCAATTTGTGGAGCTCAGCGATTATTTAGAATGCAGAGGGAGTAGCTATTGAGGAAGTACTAACGCAGACTTCCTTCCTGAAGACTTGAGCTCACTCTGGGCAGTGTGTCCTTGTAGTATATCTCATGTTTGCTACATTCCTGGAGTGGCTTGGTCTTGAATCCCCCATCATCCTCGGCTGCCAGTTTCTGATGGAGTTGGCCAGAACCTGGAAATGGTATAACATACCATCTTTGTCGCCACTCCCAGGAATGAGCAGGGCCATGGGTAGCTACTTCCCCTTACCTCCCCTAGATCAGATGCTTCTTAAAGGGGCTCAGGAGTAGCGAGCAAGGCCAGTGCTAGATCTGGGGCCCCAGAGAGATCAGGTCCATGATTTGAAGGTTGAATGCCTACGCCTCTGCCCAGAACAGGCAAGGAAATACTTGTTCATGTGAAAAAGTCCAGTTAGGTTCTGTGGTCATGCAACAGGGTTAGGGAATTACTGAGTTCCTACCTTATGCCACACTATACATATCACCTCATTAAATTCTCAAATCCACTCCATAACGTAGGTGCTACTACTCCATTTTCTCTGAACTTCAGTGAGACCTATTTGTCCAAGATCTCACAGCTCACTGTTGGTTGGGTTTTATATTGGTGTAGTCACTGTTGAAAACAGTATAGAGTTTCCTCAAAATATTGAAAATAGAACTACATGCCGAAACCGGTTTGGCTCAGTGGATAGAGCGTTGGCCTGCGGACTGAAGGGTCCCAGGTTCGATTCTGGTCAGGGGCACGTACCTGGGTTGCGGGCACATCCCCAGTGGGAGATGTGCAGGAGGCAGCTGATCGATGTTTCTTTCTCATTGATGTTTCTAACTCTCTATCTCTCTCCGTTCCTCTCTGTGAAAAATCAATAAAATATATTAAAAAAAAAATAAAAATAGAACTACAATATGACCCAGCAATTCCACCCCTGGGTATTTATCTGAAGAAATTGAAAATATTAATTTGAAAAGATATATGCACCCCTGTTTTCAGTGCAGCATTGTTTACAATAGCCAAGATATAGAAGCAACGTAGGTGTCTGTCCATAGGTGAGTAGATAAAGGAGGTGTGTGTGTGTGTGACACTAAAAAAGAAATTTTGCCATTTGCAACAACATGGATGATCCTAGAGGACATTATGCTAAATGAAATAAGTCAGACCGAGAAAGACAAATACTGTATGATCCCACTTACATAAGGTATTTAGAGTAGTTAAAATCATAGAGACAGAGAGTAGAATGGTTGTTGCCAGGGGTTGGAGTGGGGAGGGAAAAATAGGAAGTTATTATTTAATGGGTAGCAGTGGTTCTCAACCTTCCTAATGCAGCGACCCTTTAATACAGTTCCTCATGTTGTGGTGACCCCCAACCATAAAATTATTTTTGTTGCTACTTCATAACTGTAATTTTGCTACTGTGATGAATCGTAATGTAAATATCTGATATGTAGGATGGTCTTAGGCGCCCCCTGTGAAAGGGTCGTTTGACCACCAAAGGGGTCGTGACCCACAGGTTGAGAACTGCTGCTTTAAGACCTGACCTTGTAGAAGCATGTGCTTTCTCAAGGATATTTACCCTGCTGATTCTATCTAGAGGTTAATTTTAGTTCAAGCTGTTGTTACAATAACAGCCTAAGG